GTCCATTCCTATGCTAGGGATAAGTACTGATCTACTACAAGGGGCCCCATAGATTTCTGAGGTCTCTTCACTGACACTCACATTCATGGGGTCTGGATCAGTCCCATGCTGGTTTCCCAGCTATCAGTCTGGGGACCAAAAGCTCTCCCTTGTTCAGGTCAGCTGTTTCTGTGGGTTTCACCAGCCTGGTATGGACCGCTGTGCTCATCTGTCCTCCTTCTCTGCAACTGGATTTCAGTTCAGTTAAAGGTTTAGCTGTGGGTGTCTGCTTCTACTTCCACTAGCTGCTGGATGAAGGCCATAGAATGCCAGATGAATCAGTCATCAATTTCATTATCAGTGGAGGGCATTTAAGGTAGCCTTTCCTCTGTTGCTTAGATTGTTGGTTGGTGTCATCTTTGTAGATCTCCAGACATTTCCCTAGTGCCTGATTTCTCTGTAAACCTACAATGTCTCCCTCTATTATCGTATCTCTTATCTTGTTCTCTTCTGTTCTCCCCCCAACTCAACCTCCCTGCTCCATCATGTCCTCCTCACCCCTCCTCTTCTCCCCTTCTCATTCTCCTAGTTCCCTCTCCCCTCCCCCCATGCTCCCAATTTGCTCAGGAGATCTTGACCCTTTCCCCTTCTCCAGGGGACCATGCATGTCTCTCTTAGGGTCCTCCTTGTTTACTAGCTTCTCTGGCAGTGTGGAATGTAGGCTGGTAATCCTTTACTCTATGTCTAAAATCCACATATGAGTGAGTACATACCATTTTGTCTCTTTGTGACTGGGTTACCTCACTCAGAATGGTTTCTTCTAGTTCCATCCATTTGCCTGTCAATTTCAAGATTCCAATTTTTTTTGGTGTTTGTTTGTTATATTTTTTTTTCTGCTGAGTAGTACTCTATTGTGTAAATGTACCACATTTTTTCTATCCATTCTTAAGTTGAGGGGCATCTAGGTTGTTTCCAGGTTCTGGCTATTTCAAACAATGCTGTGATGAACATCACTGAACAGATGTCCTTGTTGTATGAATGTGCTTCTTTTGGATCTATGCCTAAGAGTGGAATTGCTGGATCTTGTGGTAGACTGATTCCCATTTTCCTGAGGAACCACCATACTGATTTCCAAAGTGGCTGTACAAGTCACCCTTGGAACAGTTTCCCACTAGAAGCCTCACCTATTGCACATATGGTTAACTAAAACTTGTACTAGGAGCTTTGCTGTAGGACCCTGCTGCCACATGCAAAGCCTTACGATATGACCATGTCACTTAATGCAAATTAGGGTTTGTCCCCAGGCTCTCCAATCCTATATGTTTCCTATATTCAGGAATAAAGCTGAGCTGATTCACTGAAGTCATCTCCCAGACGGCTATCTCCATTGTACCCAGAGCCATCTGAACCCTGTTCCCTGCTTCTGCTTGCTCCACCCTTATGAAACAAGGCAGCCAACAATCCCGAGGAAAAAGTAAAGCCACAATACATTAACTCATATAATATTTGCAAACTACAAAACTTATCGTTTTTATCAAACATCTTTCAGTGAAAAGGTTAGATGATAGCTGGGCATAGCAGAGTACTTGGGAGGTAGAGAGAGGCAGGTCTCTGAGTAAGGTCTGCCTGGTGTATAGAGTGAGTGCCAGGATAGTCAGGGCTACACATAGAAATACTGTCTCAATTTTTAAAACAAAATAAAAAACAAAAAGAAGAGGTCAGGTGCTTTGCTTTAAAACTGCCAAAGAGCATATGGATAATGCCAAAGATACACAAATATACAATGAACCAAAGCATTTATGTAACCAGGAAAAGACAAACCAGAAAGCCCAACATGACCATGTTACCCTTGTTCCAAAAGTCAATCTATCTCTGGACTGAATTTCATATTTACTCCTCAAATAACTGCCTATTATCCCAGTATCACAAAATGCTAATAAATCCTTTTCCCATTTGTAAGAACATTAATAAAAGATATTACTTGTAGATTTTACTATGTGCAGATCTTCAAACCAACCAAGTCTGTCCCCAAAGTAGATGCCCCAGAGTGGTTATGACATCAAAAGCATGTAGAAATAACGAAACAAGACAAAATCAACTTTGGTCCTCACTAGCAGTCATATTAAAGAAAAAAAAGTGGATACTCTTGCTCAACTACAATAAGACATGAACTTGTACTTGTGTGTACACACACATACACACACAAATGGAGAGAGACAGAGATATTATAAATCTAGTATGTTGAGTATTTTAAAGATATAGTAGTTCGAATACTTTACAAAATGACTTTCAATGCAATAATACTTGGGCTTTATGATCTTTCTAATTAAAATTAAAAAGTCTAATAGCCCCATCTGTATTTCCTTGACTCTATCTCAGCACAGAGCCCTGGAGGTATGTAATCTGATTGTTTACCAAGACCACACTTCAGCAACTCATCTAAGTGTTAAACTATCTTGTGGGTATTCCAAGTGAGCTCTAACACCACCAGCTCCAACAGGATAGGGCCAGACAACTCCAGAACAAATAATGTTATTTGTTATAATAAGCAAATTAATATACAAACATAACTCTAACCCACTTTTTCATAAAATTGCCTCTCTTTCCTTAGTATACTTGCAATACTTTTTCCCACTCTAAGTTTTCATTTACAATATATTCAAATTACTCATAGAAGTAAGGTATACTGAAATATACTACCATGGAATCTGTATTGAGAACAGCTTCATATTTAGGAAATCCAAAACTAGGTCCACATAAACACTCATATTTAGTTAGATGTTAGAAAATCCCTGACTTCCAAAGAAGACCCAGTGACTTAAAGCAAGCTCTTAAATATTAGTTGATGGTTACACATGATGGTGAATGCCCTTCTGTATATATGCTTCTCTTATTGGGTGATGAATAAAATACTGTTTGAATAACAGAGGCAGGACTAGGAGACAAGGAGAATTCTGGGAAAGGTAGGTAGGGAGAGTCTGCCAGAAAGAGACACCATGTAGCAGAGGAAGGAGTAACATGTCCGGACCCTTCTCTGGTAAGATAAGACCATGTGGAAAAACTTAGACTAATAGAAATGGATTAATACTTAAGACAAAGCTAGCCAATAAGAAGCCCTAGCCATTGGCCAATAGCTTAATAATTAATATAGCTCAGTGTGCTTATTTGGGGCTGAAGTGGTGGCTGGACCTAGAGGGACAACAGAAAACTCCAGCAACACACACATGGTCACATACTTCTTAAGACAATTATCTAACTAAAAATCACACCCTTAAAAAGTTACTTACCACATAGAGTTGTTTCCACATGGTTCCCCAGTCTCTTAATGTTGATGTCATCTCTGTGATAACAGAATCTTCAGTGGGAATAACCATTTCAAATTGTCTGTGAAATTGAAGAGGACAAAATAAATACCAGAGATGATACTATTAAATACGCAAGAAGATCAATTAGGAAAGAAAGCCACCTGAGGTATGGCAGCCAGAAACCAGTATGTGATTAGGAGCTTATACAAGGAATACTATAGGTGAGGGTAATACAATGCCCAAGGGACTAGCCACTTCATCTAGGTCAAGACTATAGTTTTGAATGGTGCAGGAGAGTAGGAATAACATAAATGTTCTATTCCTGTGACAGCTTGGCCAGTAGACAATTCTTTTAATCTCTCCAAACTCAACAGCTTTCATCTGTCAGACAAGATCACCAGACTATATCAACTACGACATGACCTCTGCCATTCAAATGCTATGACCACAGGACTCAAGAGGGGTAAGAGAAATACCATTCATTCATCTGGATGCATGGCATGTGAACTTGTAACTAACCCATAACTAGAGCATTCACTAAACATCTTTGTGAGCTCACTAACCCCTTAATTATATTATTTGGAATAGTCAATTTAAAAAAAAATGTGCATTGTTAATACTGTTACCATGCAGCAGAACCAAGGCTTAAGATGTCATAGATATCAGGATATTCATTCCAGAATGTTCCTCTCTGTAGTGGACAATAGACTCTTCTTTTTTAAAGTCAGAAACAGCATTACTAGTCAGGTATGTATGGCTGTCCTGAAGAGAAGCAGCATAAGGCCATAAATGGACAGGTCTTTCGCTTGTCCTTTGGTTCTACCTTTAGCACAGAAGAATCTTCTTTTGCCATATGTAGTTTCTTTTGTCAAGTCCTTTCTGGTTTTGTGCACATTCAAGAGGTTACATGGCCATTATCATTACTGCCTCTCAGAAGAATGCAATCACCAATATCAATGGCAACTATTTCCTTTATTTCAGGTTTATTTTTCCAAAGGCCAACATTTCATACGTAAAAGGAAATAGCTTATTAAGGGAGATTCCTTATTATCATGAGGCTAACTCTTCTGCAGGTCCTTTATGATGTCATGTCCAAGTGTGTTCAGCTCTCTTTGGGGGAAATCTTCCCAGCATAAATGCAGAAACTAAAGTCTTGCCTTGATTCTTCCTCTAATTGAGCTCTATTCTACTGATTTCTCATTATTGCTAAAAACTTGTCTTGTGAATATTTCCCTTCTTTCTAAGGCACAAGTGAAGCTGAAAATGTAAAACTGGGATTTAAAACTAGAAAGAAAGTAAACAGTAATATAAACCCTATGGAGAATCCTGACACCCCCAAAGGTAGAATATTTACTCTGCTTTTGAAGCAGCTGTTGCAATTTATATGATGAATATTTGGATTCAGAGTTTATAAAATGATCCTATACAAAGCCCGGGAGGGAACAGGAAATCTCCAGGAATCCTAACCACTGTACTTAACAATTTAAAAGTGAGGTCTCAGCAAGAATGAAACAATACAGGAGCAGCTTCTCTAACTCATGAACTCTAATTTAGAGACACTCATCACAGACCCTACTTTGCTCTGAAGACCTAGGAAACAACCACGGACAATTCAATACATGGAAAGTTTATTTGGCGTTTTCTAAACAAAATACAAAATTTTAAACACAAAATACCATTCAGACAGGGCATCTCTTTTGTATTATTCACATAATCCTCCAAATTATTGTTGAAATAATATATCTCAAGTAGCTGCCCTGAAATGTATTTTTGTCAGTTATTCTGGGACACACTTTACATCAGTTTTGTCCTAGCAGTTGGCCTATCAGGTTAAAAATCTGCTTAAAATAAGTTGGGTGATATTAACATCCTGAAGATCTTTCTCTTTGGAAAAACAAGACATTCTGTGTCTTAAAGGGTTTCAGGACAAAGTTTTTCTCCTAGAGTCCCAGAACCATGGATCTACCTTGACTGCAGCAACTCCTTTTTAGAAAGGAGCCCACCTACCCTGAGTTCTCACTGTCCTATAATCCCATCAGGCCTGGTGCCGGACAGCCTAGAACCTACAAGTCTTCTGGGACACCTTTATCTGCATTTGCAGTCTCCTGGGGATCGTGGACTAGAGGCAGACAAACACCAGTGCACCAGAAACAGCAACAAAGAGAGCTGAAGATAAGGCTCAACAGTCAAGAGGCCTGGCTGCAATTACACAGGACACAGGTTCTATTCTCAGCATCACACGGTGGCTCACAACCATCCATAGCTTTAGGTTCTAACATCAAACTGCTCTTCAGGTATCTGAGGGTACCAGGCACACATATGTTGCCCAGACCTGGATACAGACAAATGCTCATACACAGAAGATACATTAAATTTTAGAAATTAAATAAAGCAAAGAGAGAGAGAGAGAGAGAGAGAGAGAGAGAGAGAGAGAGAGAGAGAGAATGATCTTATTTTAAAACTATGTCTTATGCCACCTGGCATGCCTTGGTTAATTGCTAGTAGGACAGAACTTAGTATCACCAGAGGCAGGTGTCTCGATGAGAGACTGCCCATATTGGATCACCCTGTGACTATGTCTATGGGGGGTTGTCTTTATAATGTTAATAGATGTGGGAAAATCCAATTTAGAAGTGGGCAACACCACTCATTGCCTCAGTTTGGGTCCTAGACAGTATTTAAAAATTCAAAAGCAGACAGAGAGGCATGTTTTAATGAACAGCTCTCTGCTTTTGGCTGTGGATATAGCATGACTAGCTACCTAGCATTCTTAATGTCTAGCCTTCAACACAATGATGGAGAATAACTTAGAACTGTGAACTAAAATAAGCTCTTTCCCCCTGAAACGGCTTTTGTCCAGTAATTTGATCATAGCGACAAGAAATGATGCCTAAGAAACTACTAGAGCCTTTGGACTCTTTTCTTCCTTGAACACAATGTAGCATGGAGTCTAGGAGGCTTATTGTATAAAAGATTAGGATGAAGTCTAGGTTGCTCATTGCATAAAAGTTGAAGGACATCAGGATGGCTTCAGATAAAGGCAGCAGGGAGGAAGGTGTAGGAACTTAGACCAAGATGGTGTGCTTCCTCCAGACCACAGCAACCTACTGTGTCAGGTCTTGAGAAAAACCATTTAGCCAAAGCACAAGACAAGGATTTCAGAGTAACAACTATGAATATGTTCAAGAACCTTAATCAAGATGTGAATAAAGACCTTAAAGAAGTCTATGATAACACAAACAGTTGAATAAAAACAACTCAAGATGTGGAAACAGAATTTAACACTGAAATAGAATCACTAAAGAAAACTAAAAAACTGAAATAAAACTGGAAATGAGAAACTCAGGATGCCAACCAAACAGAAGCCTCAGAGGTAAGTCTCACTGACAGATTAAAACTATACCTTGAATCCACTATCTTGAAAAACTACTAAAGTTGTTTAAAGGACTGGCATATATGACATACAGCATACTAGTATCCTAGATTATTTAACCAAAGAATTATCCAGATAAGGAAACTCAATGTATTTGTACTACAGATTCTCAATGACTTGTCAATTTTAATTCGCCAAACTAAAATCTAGTACCACAGCTTTACAAAGGATGAATGTAAAATCACCCATTTCAATAACATTGAGAAATTTTTGGTGTAATTAAAATTAAATATATTATTTACTGTGCTATTGGAGTTCAAATAAAAGGTTGCTATTTATTGCTATTTACATAAATATGTAATTTCTATCACCAAGTCTGTATATTTTGGCCATAAAATAAAAATTACACTATAATTCAGAGATGATTCCTTGTGACACCGGCACCAATATATGTGTCAAGATCCACTCCACAACAAATTATTTACTTGTGTTAACTACTTAATACCAGGCATGTTGAACTGTGGTATTCTGTAGGACCTCATTTGATTAATATTATTCTGACAGCTACTTCCAGTCAGTTTAGAAGGGGACTGGGAAATATTTTTAAACACATAAGAAGTCCTCAGTGATCAATGAAATCTGCACAATATAATGCATCATTCAGGCATGGCATATGTTTGGTTTTGTGATAATAGTTGTTATTTAAATTACATGCTGAAGAAGCTTGCAAAGGGTTTTATGCACAGCTTTAAGTGAGTTTGGTTTTTTTTTTGTTTTGTTTTTTGTTTTTGTATTGGGCCACATTTGTGATAATCTGTGACTAGATGTGATCCATAGATCAAACAGCAGAATAATGTATAAAGTCACACCGGACATGGTTTTAGACTCACGTAGAAGAGATTGGCTTTGCTTTTCTTGTTTTTATGGTTTTGAGACAGGGCCTTCCTAGGTGGCCCTGGCTGGCCAGGACCTCACTGTGTAGACCAGGCTATCCTCAGACTCATAGAGACCTGCCTGGTTCTGTTTCCCAAGTGCTGGGATTAAAGGTGAACTACCACATACAGCTTAAGTTTTAATTTTTATTTGTTATTAGTGTGTGTGAGTCTGTGTGTGTGTGTGTGTGTGTGTATGTGTGTGTGTGTGTGTGTGATGTGTGTGAGGCCATGCATGTGCTATGGCACACATGTGGACGTCAGGGGATACTTTTGTGCCATCAGCTCTCTTCTTTGACCTCTGTGGGGCTTCCAGAGATCTAATTCAGGTTGTCAAGTTTACACAGCAAGCACTCTACCTACTGAACATCCCGCTGGCCCAGGCTTCACCTCTCTATAACCAGTGGGAAATTAAGGAGGTTCCCAGGCATTGAGACCACATGGCTGACCATGTTAGGGTCTCTGCCTGGCATGTTTCCCTAAACATCAGGAAAAGAAGATGAACCGGCTTCTCTGTTTAAGATTAAACAAGTTCCACTATTGATGGACAACGAGGGACAATGAGGACTGCCTTACTCTAAGATGGCCCTGCAGCTCAGCACTCAGAAATGGCTTCTTGAGTTGTCTCTATCTGCTGCCTTAGTATCTTGGATCAAACAAGGACCATGGTTTGATCTTCTTTAGTTCATTTTGCAATACAGTTACTAAACCTTTCAATTTGGAGGTAGTCAGCAGCTGTGAGAACCTTTCCAACTATAAATACAATGCACTCTTACCCTTTGTTCTTTACACAGGCATTTTTCAAGTGAACATAGCTGGAAGGAAATATACCCTGGAAGAGAAAACATGAAGGTTACAGTCTAGCTGTCTCTTAAGGTCAGTTGTTCATAAGCAGATATATCTGAAACAGTTAACAACCATGACAATATGAAGAACAGCAAAACACCAGCATACTCTATGGGCTAAAATTCAAAGTGGTTTAAATCAAAATTTTCTAATACCTATTCCAACTTTACATGTTTAGAGATTTTCTAAATATAATTGAAATAAATCAAATCTCACTCGGCAAATACATTCTTTTTGTTTCATTTACTTATTTTTTTGCAATAGAGTCTTTTGCAGTGTAGTCTTATGTAGACTGGAATTTATTACATAGAACAGGCTGGCTTGAAACTTGTGGCAATCCTCCAGCTAGGTTTCCTCAAAGCTGATTTATGGCTATGGGCTACTACTTTGCTCAGCTAAATGAGTTTGTTCTCCATAAATCATAAAATAAAATGCATTCAATAATTCTATATAAAAACTGTAGTTTAAAAAAGGAAAAGAAATACCTCTGATGTTGTTATTTGGCAATTGGTTTATGAGACTTGGTCTCATACTATAGGACAAGCAGCAAGGAATACTCTGTAATCCAGGCTGCCCTCAAACTCAGCAGTCTTTCTACCTTAGTCTCCTATGTGCTGGGGTTACAGACATGTAACATCAGACCAGGCTGAAAATTATGTGACAGTGAATAATTTAAGCTCACAATGGAACTCTATGAGAGAACACTAGTTTGCTGTACAATTCCTGGTATTACCAAACAAATAAGCAAACTAATTTGGGCTGGTTAGATGGCTTAGTATTGAACTCATCTATCTATCTATCTATCTATCTATCTATCTATCTATCTATCTGCAATCTATCTATATATATATTACAGTAATAAATAGTAAGAGATTGTTTTCAAAACTATTTTTATAAGATATGTGTTTATTTCAATAGGACAGAATTAACAAATAAAGCAACCTTAATAAAAAAGAGTTAAAGTCAAAATTTATGACATGAGACAGAAGTGACAGAGAAATCAGTGATTTTTTTCAGAAATGTGCACTAGATGAATAATTAAATATCAAATCTATATTTGCAAGTGCCCTACAGATGTTCAAAATAAAAAAAAACTTTAAATGAAGACTAAAGTATCAAAAATTAAATTTATATGCTCATTTGTCCCTTAGGCTTTCCGTGGGACTGATCTAAAATGATGAAATAAAGTAACTAAACACAGTTGGATGTTCTTGCAGAAGCTATGTTTAAGCAAAGAGACTGGCAAAGGAATTTAGATTGTATTTTGAAAATGAGAAATGATATGATTTCTCCTCACAATTTTAACAAAGCTAGAATTAAACCAAACATATGAATGATGTACATGAATGGATTAGAGGAGCTGCAAAATGGGCCTTTGCTGTATGCCTGACAACCTGAGTTTGATCCCTGGGAAAGGCCAGATAAGGAGCAAACCACCTATGTGCCTTGCTATGTGTGCATGTGCACATACACACCAATAAAATAAAGTAAAAAGAAATGAAGCAGGAAACTATGAAAACAGATTTAAAAGCTTCAGATGATTACAATAAAGCATATAGTAAAGATTACTATAAAAAGTCACACATTATCCAAATGAAAGTCACATTACTTCCTAAGGGTTTAATATAAATATAAGTAATGATGCTCAGGACCTTCCTAGAATGGCGAGAAAGATGAGCACTTACAAGTACTATGTTGGGATGCACCTTACACCTAAGGAACCCTTCACACGACCCTAAAACAAACTTGTTCCTCACCCTGGCACCTTACAAACAATACCACAGGAAATTTAAAGATTAAATATCAGTGTTCAGAATTTCTTTTGGAATATATTTCCCTGCCTGAATTTTAATTTACCTTTCTGGGAAACTAAAACTTCAAAAAGATTTTGTTTATATCTAATAAGCTTAAGTGCTTGCCAGTATAATTTTTGAAGGCTATAGAGAATTATGATTTCAGTATCTTACCTTAACTTTAATCCCAGTTCAAAGGAATTCCCGAAATTATGAAAATCTGTATTACCATTTTTGGAACCTAATTAAGAGCTCAACTCTAATTTCAATTGTATAGCAAAATAACTTATGTAATCATCTTTAATAAAAAATCCTATAATTACAATTAGAAATAACAGTTTTTACCTTGATATTTGGGTTTTTTAAGGCAAATCCTCTGTACCAGCCTGTGAAGAAATAATTATTTCATTTTAATACATAAACCAGGATAATACTTAAAGATAACAAATGATATATCCTTTGATGTTAGAATCTTAATCTTCACATGACTTCACATGCATAAACCGTAGTTCTAGGATTAGGCTAGGTAACAAATCAATTGACCCTAAGTTTAAGCATTTCATTAATACACTGTTTTATTAAATTTATACCAGAAATTTGTATAAATGGAAATAAAGGCTTGGATCAAAAGCACTGGGCTTAACTAAAGAAATTTTCTGCAATTTACTAGCTATTTTTTGTTGTTTTTGTTTTATTTTTGTAATATGGTCGATGTAGGCTAAGATATCCTCAAACTCAGAATCTTCTGTCCTTACTTTCCCAGGTTTGTGACACCAAGCTCAGCCTACTCTTTAATTTTGGGGACATCACTTTACCTCTCTAAGCACCACTTCTCCCCATTTTATTAAGGGCCACAGTATTTCTAAGGGAAGTGCAAGAATCTATCCAGGATTTAATGCCATTCTAAATTCTTCCTCATGAAAAACGCAGATTTGATTTGAAAGTACCAGTGCCTGGCCAGCAGTGATGAAGCAGATGTGTGTACATACATAAGCCCACCATCTATAATAGTGCCTGGCCAGCAGTGATGCAGCAGATGTGTGTACGTACATAAGCCCACCATCTATAATAGTGCCTGGCCAGCAGTGATGCAGCAGATGTGTGTACGTACATAAGCCCACCACCTGTATCAATACCTGGCCAGCAGTGATACAGCAGATGCGTATACATGCATTAGCCCACCATCTGCCACTAGCTCAGCCTCGTGTCCTAAGAGCCATTGACCAAATGAGCTTGTATAATTTCATCGCTGCAATAGCTGATCAGTGTGATTTGCCAGTGTCAATGACCCAGAAGCAGTCTTATAGTACTATTCTTGAGGTGGCATCTCTTTTTGGCCAGTTTAAACAAATGTAGCATATTTTTATAAGTGGAGACACCATTTCTCTTTTTGATAGGAAATTATTTGCTATGTAGAAAGGCTCTATCTAAATTTTTTTGACCAGTTTATTTTTGAAAGAAAATGTTTGCATTGTATATTTGTTTTGGTTCCTCACAATGTTTTCTTAGAAAAATATACAAAAAAAATCCTGTCTATCATCTTAACTGCAGCTCAGGGAAGGAAGCCTGATCTTGAAGTGAGAATGTCTGCATCACAGGGTTTAATATCATGTCACAAGAACAGATCCAACATGAATATCGATTTGTAATATTTATTCTAACAGAATTGAAAATCTCTTGGCAATTTCAGAAGTGCCAGAAAAGCCTTTGTATAATTATTATGTTATGCAGAAAAGGTTTCGTTACTACCTCCCATTAAATACGTATCCTATTTCTATGCAGCAATTTAAGAAGAACTTTATATTTATGCACCAAGGAGAAGAGAGAGAAAGCTTTCAGTAATGACACAGGAAACCTTACTATATTTTTAGATTTCTCAATTACAGTGGACAGAGTAAATATTCCCAAATCATCAGCATTTGAAGCCAGATTCCAGCAAAAGGTAGTATTGTCATTTGTCCAAACACAATTTAACACCATATGAGACTTCATAGGATAGAACATTTTCATGTAATAAATCCCCAAGTCAGGAAGCCTTCTAGGGAGGAAATGGGTATTTTTTATGTACTCATGACATTCTAAAATCTAGTAACTTTGTTAACAAAAAATATAGTCAGATTATCTGAGATCTGTTCAAGGACTATAATTCCAGACCTAGAACAAGAATGGAGGCATCTAAAATAGATTAGATGTTTTTAGTGAATTACCTGATAAATAAATTAACAATATCTACTAACATTTCAAATTCATTGGATAATTTTATTCCAAATTTGGAGAAGAGAGAATACAAAGCTAGAGAGGAGATGGTCATCCCTCCTGGGTTTCTTGCTACTCGGCTTCAGGCGCGCCATCTTTCCAACCTCAACCTCAGATGCACCTTTTTTTTTAGCTTGCCCTTCATTTTTTTTTTTTTTTAATCTCTAGAGTTAGAGCAAAACATTCTAAGCTGAGAGTTAGTCATGACCTCCTACAAAAGGAGCATGTTCCAGTGCTTTCTACACTTCATGAAAGGACTAAAAGGGGACGATAAATGAGGAAAAAGCACAATCAACTTAAAAATAATTCTTAATTGTTTTCCCATAATTGCACATTAAATATGTAAGGAGCAAGTTTTGTCAGAAATAGTGTGCTGTGACTACAAGGAAAGTTTCTGAACTGGACAGACAAATTTTGAAGTGTCCTGCAGAGTCTTGGGGCAAGAATCTTCTTCCTACAACTTCAAGCCATAAGTATGAGGCCACTCACCATCACACTTCTCCAGGATCTGAACAGTATCTCCAATTTCCAGTGACAGGCCATATGGGACAGTGCCTCGAAAACTGGCAATAACTGTAAGAAATGATACAGAAAATAAGAAGACAATTATAGCCAGCGTCACTGTTTACAATTAAACATGAAACTGATGACATTTTATTTTTATGTATTTAAAAAAAATAACTAAGCTCATATACTTTGCTAAAATCTTGGTCAAAAAACACTATGGATATACATTGAAAATATGCAGAATACTCCACAGGTGGCATATAAAATATCAAGACTATTGGCAGCAACATATAAAGGCAATGAGAGTGCTTGTAGGTCCTTGGAAGACCCAGTGTGCTTCAAGCCCTGTTGGGTACACTCCCTCCCTCCCGGTGCCTGGCTGTGGTAATTTATAAACAGATGTTACTAATAAATGAAGAATATATCTTGTACTCAGTAATAAGACTGGTTTGCCTGGATTTTATAGTTAGATCCTATCCCCACCACTGTAAACTTAGAAAGAGGAGGGATTGTGTCTATTTGCTCACTCTCAACCCTAGAGCCACAACAAGTTCACAGAATACATGCCAGAAGTCTTTCTTACAGGAAAATCAATGGTGACAGTTTATTTCTTAATGACTCAGCAAGCCATCATCAGAGCTAAAGATGCAGCCATAACCCCACATTCCTTAGCATTCTCAATGCTTTCAACGGGGGTGGTGGGGTACACCATTAATTATAGATTGACACTTTCGATGCTTTAGATATGTTGGTTTCAGAAACACTGTGCAGAGTAAGGTAGACTAGGATGTACCACCTACAGGAAGACTTGCCTGTAGGTTAGCCATGCAGGCTTCTTAGGGAATGATCATGAGACTGAATCTCAGAGATATAGAAATAAAGGAAACAAATCAAAACACACACACAGAGAAGGTCATCACCGCCCCCCCAAACACACACACACACACACACACACACACACACACACACACACACACACAAAACCACTGAAGCCAACTTGCAATTTATGTCAGATTGGAAAAATATTTAAAAGGTGAACATTTTAATATTATTTATAATTTCATTTCTGGTAATGAGGTTCAGATTTAACCCAAATCACCAAACTAAGTTTCTGCTACTTTGGGAATATATTTGAAAGCCTGAAGAAACACATGGATATGTAAAAAAAAAAAAAAAAAATCAAAACATACCAAAAAGTTAATGGGCTTTTAGAGATGTCAAGCCCTTTTATGATCTCAAAACAAAATTAACACTAGAAATCAAAATACACAACAGAAAGCACAACCCAAAGTGCCACAAGATAGATGGAAATAACAACATAGGGACAAATTTAGAATATTTTATAACTGTAGACAAATACTAGTTTATGATGTCATTTTCTAACTATAACAAGAAATACCATTTGGCCTCATGTTAATGTTCAAGAAAATATTTGCTTGAAAATTAAGGTTCATGTACCTTGAAAGATGACTTCATATAACTTAGATGCTTTTCATGAGACTGACCACTGAACACACAGTAAATTAATTCTTATTTAGGGAACTCCTAAACAAACCTGTATCCAGGTTAGACTTTCTAGGTTAACCATACTCCTTAGGACAGCCTTCTTTGACATGCATCCTCTCATCCACCTTGCACGCATGATGGCACCAGAACATATCCGTCTCATCATTTATGTTTTCAAGTATTTGGACAACTCATTCTGAAAAGTTCCATGAATATGAGCTTGTGTTGGTTTGAGCTCCTAACTGTCTCTCATTTCAAACAGGCTTAACTTAGCATGTGATCACTGAGATCATGACCGTTACCATAAAATGTTTTGGTCTGAAACAGTGATGTTTATTTTATTATTTATATTTTAAAGGGCTGACATGTCTAAGAGTCAACCTCTGTTACCTGTGAAAATTTATTCCCTCAAAGAAGCTATTCAAGCTGGTTTTCTGGGTTAGAACTACTTTGCCTTGGGGCTGGAGAGATGGCTCAGAGGTTAAGAGCACAGGCTGTTCTGAGGTTCTGAGTTCAATTCCCAGCAACCACATGGTGACTCACAACCATCCATTACAAGATCTGGTGCCCTCTTCTGGTATGCAGATATACATGGAAGCAGAATGTTGTATACATAATAAATAAATAAAATCTTAAAAAAAACCCCTACTTTGCCTCACTTTGTATCTAATCTACAGGGATGAACCTCCCCCCTTCCCCATCACAGTTCCCTGGGAACTACAAGGTAGTATTAATATAAATCTTAGCCTGATTGGCTTTCTCTTTCGTTGGAACCACATGAAGTCAATTCCTTCATCGGAGTTCCTAGAGCACATTGACTGTTGAATGTCTTGGCCAGAAATGGAGTATGACCAAACATGGAATTCATGGATGAAGGAAGAATGAAACCACTGAGAGCTGTTTCTAATGGACTCACACAACTTCAGGGACACCTGCAGTAGCAGCTCACCAGGAAGTAGTCAAGTATAGATCATGTTGAAGAAGAGCACTTTCAGGAGATAGCTCGAGGCATGGCTTTGACCTATGCACTATGAAATAGCAAGTCACTTTCAATTTATGAATATACATTGGTGAGCACCAATCAATGTTTTCACTTAGGCTTCAGATTATGAGAATGTTGAATGAACAAACCACAGGCAAGACAACAGACGATATGTGAACAGGACTGTTTCACCTGTGTTATCAGTAGCACATACTCTGTTACAAACCAAAGTGGACTAGACTAGCTTAGTAAAGCAAAACTCCAAAGGAAACACGAATCGATGAAGACTTGGCTTGCATTTCCATGGAATACTCCTAAAACATGTATTTTTAAATTTTGTTTTGGAAACAAACTTTCAGCTAATCTGCGTGAACTTTCTACAAGTGTTCTTGCAAGAAACAAGTCTATAGTTGAAAATTAACTTTGTCACCAGTTATTGTACAGTAGCTATATCTTTATATAAAACTATACTTTGTATACTTGTTAGCAGCAGTTTTCTTCCCCACTCATTTGAAATTTACTAAACATGGTGACACAATACATCAGCCCCTTGATTTCACTTCTTTTTTCGTCTTCTTATGAACTGAACAGCTACATAACAAATTACAAAGAGTTTGGGGAGCTGGGAATTCAAAGGCTCAGGACTACTGTTCCAGGACTGAGAATACAGTTTGAAATTCTCTGTATGGATAGTAGATATAAATATCTGTAAGAAATGTTTTTAAATACAGCCACGAAATATTTTCTAAGTCAGAGGTAATAAAATGTTAAATAGTGCTACACAATAGGGACTTATTCTCAGGTTCAATGATACCATTTGCTTAGGGTAAAATATTTTCAAGCTTTTAAGATGGGTGTAGAGAAATTGAATCTCAGCGTTCTAGGACTTTTAAAAACACAAACTCAAAGCACTTTATTCAAAAGTTTTATACATCAACCATGTAGCTGCAAATTGTAGATGATAACATACATTCATGGGCACTGTCAAAATAGTATTTGCAATGACTCCAGTTGCCACAATTCAATTCAAGCCCCACAACAGCTGGTCCTTGCCCCGTACAAGCTGATAATCCCAGATGAATAGAAGATAGAGCATAAAAGTATAATGAAAATGCTTTGTCCCTGGTGACACTCTCTAAGACCGAATTTTGTCTTCATCTTCTTGGTCAAAAGATCTGCAACTCATCAACACGTTGTTCTCTGAAAGGTCACTTATTAGCTGACTACTTGCAACACAGAACATGATGCTACTGTCTCAGGTTCTGATGTCATTTTACATTCTACTTAGTACCAAAATGAAACTCATGCTGCTTTGTTTCTCAACAAAACAAACACATGCCTGTTGTGGAATAGTTGTTTAACTATGCAAAGATGTGTTGCATTTGTTTAATTATGTAAAGATGTGCTGCTGTTTCACCTTTCGTGACTAAGACACCTGATTGGTCCAATAAAAAGCTGAACAGCCAATAGTGAGGGAGGAGGTATTTATGGAACTTCAGGGCACAGAAGACTAAGTAGGAGCAACTTAGGCTTGGGAATGAAAGAAAAAGATGCCAGTACCCAGCCAGACATGGAGGAAGCAGTAAAGTAGGACACACAGATTGAAAGCAAGGTAAAAAGCCCCAAGGCAAAATGTAGATGAGTAGAAAAATAAATTAAGTTAAAAGAGCTAGTGGGGCAAGTCTAAGTTAGGGCAGAGCATTCATAATTAATAAGTCTCCATGTCTTTATTTGGGAGCTTGGTGGTGAAATTCCCACTACACGTAGCCTCAAAATTAAATACCCAACTTTAAGTGAGAAGACTGTAAAATTTTCAATCCTGTCTCAGAAGCACTGTAGTCCCAGAAGATGGGGTGAAGGAGGCACTATCTAGACATTCTAGAACTCTGCAGACTATACTGAAAACTGGCCTTTCCCTCACTGAACATCTGCCTCTGTTTTGTCATGAATATATCTGCATATAGGTTTCTATTATGTATGGGGAATCCTAAGGGGGCCCCCAAAAGGGGAGGAAGTGGTAGACTGCTTGAGGAACTTAGATGCGAGCTGGGGAAGGGAAGCAGAAGGGAGAAGAGCATAAAGAGGACCTGAATTCCTTCCTTCTTTATGAAACGGTGAAGCGTGAAAAGCGAAGAGGTGTCACCTCCTTGGCACATCCATGAATTCCTGGAGGAAACCTGTTGTCTCAAGTGAGCTCCTGTTTCCCTAAGTTTCTGGGGCAGGACTTGCTAGACAATAGAATGGGACTCAATGGAGATGTGTATTGGCAGAACTGTCCTTCTATTTTATTCTATTTTTTCCTCCACAAGATGAAATCAGAAACACAGCTGTTAACCTGAAGTGTCAATTTAACACCTAGAGTCATCTGAGAGTAACTGCCTGCAGTTACTAGTCTGTGGGCATATCTGTGTGGGATTCTCTTGATTATTAATTGGTTCAGGAAAGGTTCAGGAAAGGAAATTATTAATTGGCACAATCCTAGGCAAATGATTCTGGGCTGTGTAAGAAAGCTACCTAACTATGAGCCCGAGAGCAAGCCAGTAAACATCATCCCTTGTCTCTAGTCTAGGGTCCTGTT